AGTCAATTCCCACATGTTGTTCTTCTCTATGCACTGCATCTCTTGCTGCATTCCTTCATTCCACTTCTCTAGGCCAGCTGCTTCTTCAAAGCATTGTGGATCTCCTGTTACTTCTGCCATCAGCAACCAGTCTGGCTGTACCTCAGTGGCGTGTGAGCAGTAATAAATAGAGAGATGGCTAGGTGGCTTTCGTGATCTGGTACCAAGTGTAGGGCTGTGAGGCAGGCCTAGGACATTAGTGGAGTTGTTGTCCTCTTCTTCTTCATCAGCATAGGCATCAAGGCCTGTTGCAGCAGGTGTGACAGGACTGTTTGTAGTCTCCTCTTCCTCTTCTTCCACTGCAGGTGGAGTTGCATTCAACATAGGACCTTCTTCCACATCAGGATCTTCATGTTCCTCTTCACTTCCTTCCCACTCCAAGAATGTAAGCACGGGTTGGACATCAGCCTTCCACTTCCACCCTTGACTTTCATCAAATACTACATCTCTGCTTATGACTACCTTCTTGGTAACTGGATTGTATAGCCTGTATGCTTTGGATTCAGTTGAGATACCAATAAAGTAGCATTGAGTGCTTTTATCATCTAGCTTCTTTCTTTGTTGGTTAGGGACATGATCATAGGCCACACATCCAAAGACTCGAAAGTGTGCAACTGATAGTGCACTGGCAGTCCTCACCTCTTGAGGTGTCTTTCCTTGATTTGCAACAATGGGGCTTCTGTTCAGTACATGTGTAGTCCAATTGACTGCTTCTGGCCAAAAACTTGCAGGTACTTGAGTGTCCTTGAGCATACATCTTACCATATTCATGGTGGTCCTATTCTTCCTCTCAGTCACACCATTCTGTCGAGGGGTGAGAGCTGCAGTGAGCTGTTTGGTCGTTCCAGCATCTTCACACAGAGTTTGAAATTCAGTTAATAGAAACTCTCCACCCCTATCTGTCCTTAGATACAAAATAGGTAGCCCAGTTTCCTTTTCCACCTGAGCCTTGTACTTCTTAAACCATTCAAGGGCTTTGATTTAGCAGACAGGAAATAGACCCATAATTTCCTACTATAATCATCAATGAGGGTAAAAATATACCTCTTTCCACTCTTAGACATAGGAGTGATGGGTCAAAAGAGGTCAGCATGCACTAATTGAAGCTGCTTGATTGCTCTCCACTGGCTCTTTTTGGGAAAAGCCTTCCTAGTTCGCTTGCCCAGTTGACAAGTAGCACAAACACCCACTTCTCCTTTCCGATCAGGTACCCCTTTCACTAGTTTGTCTTTCTTCAGCTTCAAGATCCCTTGGGGGTTCAGGTGGCCAAATCTGCTTTGCCATAGGAGAAGTGACATTTCCTTGCAGTCTGCAGCTAAGCATTGAAGTTCAGCTTGTCCTGTAGCTTTCTTGGATGCTGCTTGCAATACAAACATCCTGTTGCATTTCATTCTGGTTTCCAACAGGAACCCCCTCATCTCATGAACTATTCTGCAGTAGTCTCTCTTTACCAGGAACTCCAAATTTCTTTCTTGTAGTTGCCCCATCCTCAGTAGGGTGGTCTGCAAACCTGGAACAAACAAAACATCCTGGATAACCAAAGTCACCTTCTCCAGTTGTAGCCTTATTGTTTCTTTACCAGCTACCTTCAGCCTGCTGTTGTTTCCCAGTCTCACTTGACCTGTATCAGTTGACCTGTATGTCTGATGAGAGTCTTCCAAGAATGCCATAAGCAGAACATCATCTGTCATATCATTCTGAGTAAAGTTAGATTGGTGTTGGTTTGGATACCAGCATGGACACTCATATTGATAGTGACCAAACTTATGACACTTAAAGCATACAACATTGTCTTTGCTCCAGCCTCTACCACTTCTTCCTCGACCTCTACCTTGATAGCCTCCTCCTCTTCCAGTTATGCCTCCTCTCCCACCATAATCATGAGATATTCTCAAGGCCTGTTCCTCTTCTGCTGTAGCTGAGGTCCTCTTGTGAAACTTATGCTCATGAACTAATAGAGAGCTTTGTAGAGCATCCACAGACAGAGTCTCTATATCTTTGTACTACTCTATAGAACACACTACATAGTTGAATTTCTCAATCAAAGTCCTCAATATCTTTTCAACCACCTTAACATCAGGCATATCCTCACCACAATTTCGCATATCATTAGCCACTACCATAACTCGACTGAAATAGGTTGTTACAGTCTCACCTTCCCTCATTTCCAATACCTCAAATGTCCTCCTGAGTGCCTGAAGTTGTGCCTTCTGAACTCGGGCACTGCCCTGGTACTTGATCTTCATGGCATCCCAGAGCTGCTTAGCTGTGGACTTCTTGGTGATAGTCTTCAAAATGGATTTGTCAATCGAACTGAATAAGTAATTCTTGGCTTTGAGATCCTTGAGTCTCAAATCATCCAAGATCTTGCTCTTAGCAGCTGACACTGCCTCTCCAGCCGCTGGTTCTGGAATACCATCACCCACCACCCCCCAATACTCTTTGGATCTCAATAGGTTTTCCATAAGCAAGCTCTAGTGATCGTAGTCTCCACCGAATTTGGGAAGACCAACCTGGGCAAAACTTGCATTCTCACTCATCTTGCAACCTCACACACTAAAATCCTTGTGTTTCCCAATACCCAGATATGTATTCCTCCCACAGATTTGCCTCACACCACTATGATTTTCCTGCTCTGCACTTAGCAGTAGAATTTGGTTACAACTTGCGTTGTGCTCTGATACCAAATGTAGAAACACACTCAAATGCAATCTGACGAGTTTTATTGAAGAAGAACAGAAAGTATAAATAGAATGAGTTGCAAGCCCCTAACTCAAACTGCTCACAACAACCCTGATTCCACTATCCAGATTTCCAGCAATCTCATCTAACAGATTCAACTATATACTCTCAACGGCTAACTCAACTAACTGGGACTTACTTGACCTTTTACAAAACTAAAGGGACTAACACAGACATACGGCAAACGGTGCAGTATTGATTATTAGACAGACTCAACCTCAAAACGACACAGCAACACTAAGACTAATTTGAACCTCAAACATTTGGCGCCCAGCTTCAATCCTTATGTCACTAGGATTCCTTCTTCCAACAACAACTTCATGCTGTTTTCGGAAACGACAAAATGTTGTTTTCACTTGTTTTCAACACCTGTTTTCTCAAATGCAGAAAACAGAAATGAAAGTAAACAGGCCCTAAGGATTTGAAATATAGACAACAACTTTTTTTTAAAATATCACATAAATGAATAATGTGTTGGAGTTTTATGGTGATATAAATGGAAATAAAGGGAAGAGAGGTAAAGTAGATCAAAGGAGGTAAACAAAGCTCATGAATACCATTGTACATGGGCGCTGGGCCGTGCTTGCGCCGGCACGGCACGACACGGGCACGCTTCGGGCCCATTTATTTCGTGCCGTGCTTGGCCCGTCCCGTCAGTTTTCGTGCCGTGCCATGCAAGCCCATTTGTTAACTTTGCTAGGCCCGGCCCAGGCCCGGGCACGGTTCGAATCGTGTCGTGCCTATTCGTGCTTGTGTCATGCTCGTATTCGTGTTTAATGAAAAAGACGAAAACAAAAGAGATGATGAAAAAGAAGGTGAAAATAGGACGGAGGAAGATAGTATTAACCGATAATGTTTGAGAAAAGTAACAAATAAGGGGGGAAAGAAAACTGGAAGTATAGCGAGTGTGATTTGGCTTTGTTTAATTCTTTGTCCATTTTTACTTATGTTAGTAATTACATATATATCTTTATGACATTTCTAACAACAACAAATAATTATTTTTCTCCTTATGTTTTGTAATATTTGAACCTATAATTCTTTTTATATTTATTTTCTATAAAATAAATATTATTTTTGTGCCATGTCCGTTCTTATACTCAAGAAAGTCTCAAAATATTAGGCCCGACACGGCCCACTTATATACCGTACCGTGCCCGTGCACATGAAGTTTATGCCCGACACGGCCTATAAATTATTTGTGCTCGTGCCGGGCTGGCCCATTTATTTCGTGCCCGTACTCGTGCCGTGTTCTAACCGTGCCGTGCTAGCCCGTGGGCGGCACGGCCCGGTGCCCACGTACAAATACCATATTAGTGAAATGTGTGAAGTACAGAGAGTACTTCAATGGAAGCACCCACTAAGGAGACGGGACTCTCCTGCCGTAGTCTTCTAACATTCTATCTAAGTTTGTTTGTTGTCTATGCATGTAAGTTGTAGAACACTTATTGGAGTAATATCGAGTATCGACATAATACAGGATTAAGACTGAACTGGATAACAGTGACATCCTCTACAAAGTAAATTACATTTTGTGGTTGACAACCTACGTAGTAATCGCCCTCCGGCTAAGTTTTGATTCCTCCTCTCCTCTTCCTCTATCCAACTTTGTTGACATGCAAACTTCTTTTCTGTCTCTCGACACTTCTTTTTTGCAGCAGTAGCAGGAATAGTACTCCTCCACGCACACTTTATTGACAAGTTTCCATACAAACAATAAACTACTGTATGCCCCTGGCATATACCTCCATTACAACCCTCTTCTCTCTCTTCCATCGCGGGTTTTGCTTTTCTTTTCCTGATCAGTCTTCTTTTCCATGTATAATAAATTCATAAAGCTAGCAGAATAAGCAAAGAAGTAGAAGTAAGAAATGAATGAAAGGCTAGCTAGGGCTGCAGGCTGCAGCCATACACATGGGAGCAAGTAAAGTGAAGAAGAGAGAATTCAGTAGCTAGCTATAGAGCTCTATAAGGTCAGTCAATAAGGCTGCATTCACCTATCCCCACACAAACACACATGCTTGCTTCTGCATCTCTTTCTCTTTCTCTTCTCAGCTCATAGACTAGATTAGATCCATGCACACCTTTTTATTTCCTTCTCTCTTCAGTCTTCTGTTTCCCTTTCTTCTCATTTTTCCAAACCTTCTCCATGAAAAACAAAACTATATTTTCCCCCATACCTCTATATATTCTCTAGCTTTATCCACCTAGAACCCTAGCAGACAGATGGGGGAATCTGTCTTCTTCTTTTCCTTGTTTGCATTCCATCTCCAAAATTTCATGATGCAAAAGTCATCGTGGGCTGATTTGAGTTCCTGGGCTACCCATTCTCAATTCTCATCATTCACCAATTATTTACCCATTTAATAGTCAGTCTAGAAGAATGGGGGCGGGGATATGGAGATAAAAATGGTGTTGGGCCGCAATGAAAGATCCCACTTCGGCCCAGAAACCAGGCCTACTTTCATCTATCGGGATTTATTCAGGTTTAATGGTTCGAGAAGCCCTTACCTAAGGCCCATGTGACGCACTGCAGTCTGCAAATAGGTCGGTAGTTATATATGAAAACTCTTAATTTTTTTTTCTTTGTTCATATTATTTGTTCTGTTCCTAAAACCCTACCAAAATCTCAGCATTTAAGTCCTAAGACCCTGCAAATCGGGTCTTCCAGAGGAACAAGCTGCGGTAGGGCAACATGGAACCGGAGATGGTGATTGCGTCATCTTCAGTCGACGCCGGCATAGGCTGCTGGGACCTCAAGACGGGTGCTAAGCAGTCGCTCCATTACAAATCCTGCGCCTCCACTCGCCACGGCCTTTCCGCCGTCGGCAGCCGCTTCCTCGCTTCTTCTCAGTTTCGAGACCCTAAGCTCGCTTCTGGTTTCATTTACTACTGGTCTTGGTCCAAGGTATCTCAGATTTTTTTAACTCTTCAGCTCCCCGTTCTCTTGATTTCAGAGAATTGACATTTTCGTTGCCAAAATTTTTGGGGATTATTAGCCGGGAGTTGAAGTGAAGAGCTTTGTGGATGAGCCCATAAAGCCTATAGCTGCTAATCGTGAAGGGACATACCTTGTCGGTGGAGGGATTTCCGGAAAGATCCCCGGAAACATATATCTTTGGGAGGTGAGTTTTTCTTCCTCCCTCGTTTTAATGATCAAATTCAGGAATCAGTTTGATTCAATTTAGGAGGCATTTGATTGATGTAGGTTGCTACTGGTAGATTGCGTAAGAAATGGCGTGGGCATCTCCGGCAGGTCACTTGTCTGGTATTCAATGACGACGATTCGCTTTTGGTTTCTGGGTCGGAGGATGGCTCTGTCAAAGTGTGGGCACTTTTGAAGTAACCTCCCCTTCTCCTCTTTTGTGGATTGTGGTTGAAAAGGGTGTAACTTTTGTGTCGGTTGTAATTGCTAAGGATGGCTTGATGTTTTTTTGTGTGCTTCGCTCTGGATCAGGATGCTTGATGATCAACAAACAGACGATCCATACTTGTATAGCTTTGCAGAGCACACTTTGCCTATAACTGACTTGGTGATAGCTTATGGAGGATGGAACGCAGTTATCGTTTCTGCCTCTGAGGACCGAACTTGTAAGGTTTGATTCCTAAATTTGATTGTTTTTACATTCCTCTTCTTTATATATCGTCGAAATAACCCACAATGTCAACACTGAAACATTTATTTGGCATTGGGGATTCTTCTCAGGTATGGAGCCTCTCTAAGGGTGAATTGTTGAGAAGTGTTGTGTTTCCATGCATAATCAGTGCAATAGTCTTAGACCCTGGGGAAACACTCTTCTATGCTGGTGGTAAAGACGGGAAGATATATTTGACTGCTCTTAGTGCTAGTAGCTCCTCCAGCAAAAGTCCTTGGTTGCACATCATCGGTTCATTGTCTAGTGGAAGGTTAGTTATTTCCTATACTATTGTTGTTTATGTATGTTGTTGGTCCTCTCAACTTCTGTCTTCTATTTTCAATTTGAGCATGCATAGGGGTTGATACCTAGCAGAACGGGTGATCATGTGCTTGCATTGCATCGCCTGCTTCTTTCCTTTCTGCCCACCTCAATTGATTCCTTTTGTCAGAGAATATTGCTTCTTAGATAGATTCAGCAATACTACTTGGTTGGTTGACCTTGCCAATTGTTTTGAGCTGATGGACTTGGTCATTTATTTTTATTAACGGGCAGTAAGAACTTGAACGAGGCTGTGACTTCCTTAGCATACAGTACCAGTAAAAACTGGTTGCTTGCTGGATCAGAGGATGGATCAATTCGAATTTGGGACCCCAAGAACATGAACCTCATTCGCGGGTTCAATCATGAAAAAGGTGACAGATTTTTTGTGTGCAGATTTCCTTGATCTGCTTCCAGTTTATTATTTTGCTCCCTATTTGAGTTGTTATTTTCTTTGATAGAAAATTACCATGTAGCTGTAGTATTGGCCTTCAAGTTATGGTCGAGCACAGATTTTCCTTTGGAGCTCCAATTTTCTTTTCTGATCTTCATCTAAATTGTTTCCTGAGGCAGGTCCAGTGAACAATCTCCAGGTCATAAGGCGACGGAAGTCTTCACTACCACCCAAACTGTGGACACCCCAAAATACTAAAGATGCCGATTCACCCATTGAGGCAATCATTACCTTGCCGCATATCAACAATAATCTTCTTGATGCTGCATATATCACCTCTCAATTGATCAACGACCAACTCAAAGAACTTCAGGTTATTAATCATGTCTTTGTTTTCATTATATTTCCATTTTCATTGAATAAACTGAAACAAATTTGCATCTTCTGTCCTCTAGATTTTGTTATGCCAACTTTTTGCTTTGTATTTGTATTGAGTGGGACCATGTTTCATCTCCTGTTGCAGCAAAAGGGTTCTTCAGCTGCGGCTGAGATGTGAGTGGCAAAGCTGAAGCATGATCTTGCAGAGTCTAGACAAATGACGAAGAGATTGAAGAAAACTCACGACCTTCTGCATGAATTCTGCATTGACGAGCTATTGGAGGGTGATCGCCCCCCGAAAGGGTAGTGTTGATCAGGTTCTTTAGTAATGAGCTCGAAAGTAAATCTCTTTTGGATACTTAAGCTAGGTAGTCACTGTAGCTGTTAGTTTCGTCCATTTCATGTCTGTTTTCACGATTGGTATTTATTTACAATTCAAACCATACTCGAGAGATGAGCGATGAGCTAAATTCAACGGCAGTTAATCAGTTATATAGGAAAATTTGCTTGTTTTGCAAGGACCTGCATTCTGCAGGGGTGATGTCTAGTATATAGTTACTATTGTGTTAATGCGATGTCGGTTTAGGTCATTAGGTGGTGTTGGACTTTCGCTCCATTCGAAGGCCCTAAAGCGTGGCGGACGACTGAGTGATGCACTCATCACTCATGTCATGGCAAGAATGTCGAAGAGGACAGAAGTTTATAACGACATCGTTGTGTTTTCCATTGATGAATATCGCGTGCGAAGGGGGAAAATTGGTATACATGGCTCTAAATTTTACTTAACATTTTCTAAAGTTAAGGTAATTTTTTTTTCTTTATCTTTTTAAAGATTTTATTGTCAGGAGAGATAAAAAATAAAATTAAACAATACTGTAACATTCCGAACCTTTTTCGTGACGAAGATACTGTCCGTTTTGAGCCTCGACCCTCACGGTTTTCGACTTGGGGTGCAATTCAAGGTGGCTTCCCATAAGGTTACCCATCCTTGTTGTGCTCCACACTGAGCACGTTTAACTTCGGAGTTCTTGTGAGAACTCCGACGTTTCACGCAAAAACGCGTCTTGTCAGTTAAGGTCGGTTTCCTACTTATGAACCATGGATCTCTCCCGTGCTTTGTCGATGTGGGATTTGCCTAAGGTGTTACAAATACCAACACCAAAAATCACTTAAAAAAAAGAGAAATGTCAAGTAAGAAAACACAAGAAGGAAAAGAACCCACACCCCCTTACACCCATTATCCTCTACAACTACAATAACCTAGGGTGGCTATACGGTCCGGTTAAATTGGCCCAAATTGATCTGGTCCAGTTTGGTCTTTTTGAAAATAGAAGGACCAAAGATTGGATTGGATACAGTCCGTTCTTGATCCGATCCAGTCTTGACTCGGTCCGATCCGAACTCTGTTTTGATTTTATATTGAGCTTGTGGGGATTTGAGTGGCCTAAGGCCTGAAAGAGTGAGGAGTTGGTTAAGTTTTGTACTAATTGCAAAGGTTTGTAACCGTTTATGCAAATTACCCTTAAGTTTTGGGTGTTGAGCTCTCTTATCCGATCTTTATCCTCGATCCAGTCCCAAATGGTTTTTTTTACCTCAAATCTAAGCCCAAAAATTGGATTGGATTGTTTACTATCCGGTCTCGGTCTGGGTTATACGATCCGGTTTTGGGTAAAATCAAAAAACCCGGACCAAATAGCCAGCCCTACAATAACCAAACACAAATCAAAAGATACCAACTCAATTAAAGAGAATTTTAAGGACTTTATGTGCCATTCTATAGGCAGTCAAATTAGCTAGTCGAGGGATCACCCTGAACTCTATGATTAAGGGAGCAAAAGAAACCATATGAGAAAGTTAAGAAGTACAGGTCCATCTAAAACATTCGCTGTAACACACTTTTAAAGTTGACAAATGAGAATGGGTTAATACCTTAGTTTGCCCGAAATATGATTATGTAATAAATTTTGGCTCGTGGTTTCAGAAATTAACATCCTGGCCTCAATTATGCAGCATATAGACTCAATTGGCCGGAAGCGTGGTTTGACCGTCAATTTGGACGGTCAACACCGTTGACTAACGGTCAACGGTCCAGCTCACTGCCACGTCAGCATCGAATAAATTAAAAAATCAAAATTTAAATTATTTTTAATATATGATTTTATAATAATAAAATAACTTTGATAAAAATGAAAAAAATTTACAAAAAAAGCCTTTGGAATTTAGATGATGCTTTGATCGAAAACCCAGTCCCCCAATCGGAGACTCTCTTCCCCTAATTAACAAATCAAAACCCATTCCTCCTAAAATTCCCCCAATTCCCCTCCTCCGCCGCTGTCTGCAAGTCCTAAACTTCGAGTTCCATTTCCCGGACTTCCCTGCCTCCGAAAGCTCTCCTCCACCGTCCAGAACCTCTTCGTCTTCATCAAGGCTCGGATCGACCGACGAAGCACCACCAAACCTCCAGCTTTGCCAAGTATCGACAAGGCCCAACTACCGGCTCACCGTCTTCGAACCCACCACTGGGCTCTGGTCCAAGCTTCCCACTCTGCCAGTTAACACGAAGAGGACGTACGAGTCGAGCTTGTCATTGGAGAGGCTCGAGACGATGGAACACTTGGCCGCGTCGAGGAACAAGTCGATCTGGGGGCGAGTCAAGGCGCGTAGAAGTCCGTTGGGGTCCTTGAAAATCTGCGCCTCCGAGAAGGATATCTCGAGATGCTTCTCGAATCCTTCGAATCCGATTGGTGAGGTGCTGACAGCCATTGCTTAATTTTGAAATTCTGAGATCTACAAAAGGGAGAGGGAGATGCAGAGTTGTTTTTCTGTTCTTATTCTTGAGGAGCTTGTTCTTGAGGGATTGAGAGAGGAAAAGTAATTCAAAGATAGAGAAGAAGCTGAAATTGGGAATTGAATCGAGAGAGATTAAATAAACGTATGTTTTAGTAACCAGAAATCTGGGGGAAAAAGTAACCATAGAATCCTATCAAAATCTCGTCCCAATTTTGTTTAATTTTTACATGGTTTTTATTTTATTATTATAATAATGATTTATTAAAAATAATTTTAAATTCGAATTTTTTATTTATTCGGTGCTGACGTGGCAGTGAGTTGGACTGTTGACCGTCCAAATTGACGGTCAAAGCACGCGTCCGGCCAATTGAGTCTATATGCTGGATAGTTGAGGCCAGGATGTTAATTTCTGAAACCACGAGCCAAAGTTGATTATATGGTAATACTTCGGGCCAAAATACGGTATTAACCCAATGAGAATCTCATAGTCATCTTCAATCAGCACCTTGGCAATCTAACGGTCTAGTCATAGGGAAATGGCTGCTCGAGCTAGAAGAAGCTCTGCAATATAGGGATCGGAAATCTCAAAGTGGAGGAACCATGTTGCCAAAAGTGGGTAACTGTTCGAGTCCCGAACAACCAATCCAAAAAAAGCAACTATCATGGCGAACAACATCGTCAAAAATATTCTTCACGAATCTCAGAGGTGGCGGACACCAAGTTGGAGGAAGGGAGACAACAGTAGGAAGGGGAAGGAATAATAGGGAAAATTCTCGGACTTGAAAGGAAAGTTGACAGCAAGAACATGAACGAGTGGTTCAGTGAACTCGAAAACCACCGCCAATAGAGACTAAAATGGAATATTGGGGTTGAATGAAGATTTTGTTCTAAACCCGCTAGAGACCAGAGACTAATCGCTAGGGGACATCTAATGAAAAGATAGAGACTAAAATGGAATATTGGGGCTGAATGAAGATTTTCTTCTAAACCCGCTAGAGACCAGAGACTGATCATTAGGGGACATCTAATGGAAAGATGTTCAATGATTTCTCGGCGCTTCCAGCAAACGTGATAACAGACATGGAAATTCACTCCTCGAGATCTGAGAGCATATAGAGTGCAAAGGATAACCATGAGACAATGCCAAATGAAGAAATGAAACTTTGGAGGAATATTGACGATAAAATCGGGCCTTGAAGGTAAATTTGCATCTGGGTCATGAAGTCCATGCAAGTCCTTGCGTGGCTAAATGTCACTAGGAGTCTCAAATTTTCTTCTAAGTAGGACGTAGCTAGTCAATTTTTCGTTATCTCGGATTTATTTCCCTTAGATGTGTTTGTTTCATTGTTGGTTACTAGACTCGGATCACCTTGAGTGATTGTAGGAGATTTGATTGTTTTGATTTGGAAATATTATAAGATTGGTGGGGATCTCTAACACCCATATGCATTAGGATCATTCCTCCTATTTAAAGGAGTCTAAATGAATAAGAAAGGGTAGTGAATTATCATTAAACGTGAGTTTCCCAAATTGGTTAGTTCTCGCCAGAAAAAGAACAAATTACATTGTTTATACAACGGTACCAACATCTGGTATCAGAGACAATGACGAATCCACCCGGCAACCACCACCCGTGTAGCGGAAGCTGCCACCAAAGAGAATATTGAAATCTTGGAAGGCACCCAGTGGCGGAGGCAGGGTCTTTTGGCTGGCCTAGTCCCGGGACAGGGGTACATTTTGGTGGAACAAAAATACGCCATATATATTTATATTAGTGATGGAACACAACACGTATAGGTAGTATTAGAGTATTTTGTCACTACAACAAACTCATTACTTGTCCAAAATTGACATAAAATTAATTTATTATATAATAAACGAAATTCCAATTGCAATAAAAGAACTAATCGAGTCTCTTTTCTCCTTATGCCTATTCGATCTATCCCCAACAACCCTGAAATTGTCTAGCGACAATGGCAATCCCACTAGTTTTGATCTACCAATTACAACGGCAAGTGTAAAAAGAGCATTTTCAGCTTTGAGTTATATTAAGAATAAGTTCCTAAATCGATTCGGCGACCAGTTTGCTAATACTTGTTTAGTAAGATACATTGAAAGAGACTTATATAATAGTGTAGACAACGAATGTTTTTGTGCTTCTTTCACTATATGAAATTCCTCCATAGTTGTCTATGAAAAGTATGATAGTATAATTGATTATTTTTAATTTATGAATGAATTATTTGGATATAATTATTTTTTATTAAATAATTCTTTTATCAGATACTTATATATTTAAGTTATGAAAAGAGGACAGAGGTGGTTTGAAATGCTGCCTCCGCCACTGAAGACACCCTCCAAAGCCGTTAAGAGGCTGTTAAACAAACCTTGCACGGTGATGTCCGACTATTGGAAGGTAACTTCATGGAGATTACTGGGCGACTCCAAATCTTGGAGATTGGACAAGCTGAGATTCTTCAGCTACTACGAAGAAAGGAGATACCGGAAATGGAGCATTCCCACTCCAGTTCCAGACATCAATTCGATGAAAAGAAGAGCGACAATGTCAAGGTTTTCTTTATAGAAATTAGATTTGTTGTCGCGCTTTGTTGTGCCTAGAATTCGGATCCAGTTGGTATCATTTATGGATAATTTTGGACTAGAATTTATGAAATTTATTTTCTTTATGAATTTTAAATTGATGGATATGTTTCGACTATCTTTTTGGTTGACTATTAATTCTAACAGTCGATCTTTTTCATCGTAGTGCTTTGTTGACACTTGTTGACGTGGATGTCACAAATATGTACGCATAGTTAGCTAAAATTCAATTAGTACTCTGGTTCTTAGTTTAATAGTAGTATTAATATAGAACCATCTCTTTTTTATCATTTATTTAGTACTTCACATAGTAAAAATATATTAAACGTTCAATACGGGGCCGACTACCGTGACAACCCCTAAGGAGGTTGTCAATCTCGCTTCCCTCCTCAATGTCGTCCGTTCTTCTTATTCATCTAGCGACCAGAATTACAAGAAGGGCTTTTTAGTAAGCACAATATTCTAATAATTTAACCAGAAAATTAATTGAGTGGAGAGAATCCGGGAACGTGATTGAGGGGACGAGATTTGGGGAGCGGAACAGACGTGACTCTTTCCCTTACATTTCTGACTTCTCCCTCATCAAACCAAACCCCTCATCTAGCTATGGAAGATACCAGCCACGCAACGCCCGCCACCACCATGGATGACTACATTAGCAACGACGATGCCAGTTAATGGGGAGAAGTCAAATCTAAGTGTATATTTGGGTTCGGCCTGAACGTCCCACTGACAATCAACGACGAGGATATATAGGACTGCGACTTTTAGCAGACGGATCCGGCGGTGAATGGCGCCGATGTGTGCATGGTGGACCTTGACGACGTTTTGGACGTGGAGGAGGCGTTGAACGAAGATCATCCTGGATGGTACAAAAACACAGAAAACGTCCAATGTGGACTCGACGTGGAGAACAACAACGAGTTCGTGCCGCATTCCGGCAATCGCGTTGATGTTAACGACGGTGTGGACGACAGCAATGGCAGTAGGGTTTACTGGTGTCGTTACAACTTCTTTTGCATTTGTACCGTTTTACTATTGGTACAAATATTGTTGTGTGAAAAAGGGCACCAGTACCACTAGGATGGTACCAGTACCACTGATTTGGTGCCTGTAACGCTAGAATGGCACCAGTACCACTATATTGGTACCAGGACTGCTAGATGGGCACCAGTACCACTGCTTTAATACCAGTACCAAAAAATGACACCAGTACCACTAATTTGGTACCAGTATGATTCGTACTGGTACCACTCCATAGCATTGCAACTGTACTGCTACCAGGCGGACTCACCTCCAAAGTAAAAAACAAATGGTTCGGGGAAGTATGACCTTTTCTTCTTAACTGCTACAACAACTCTTGACGAAAAGCCTCTTCCATGAGCAAAACGTGATGGTTCATTTGTGCTAATGCAAGGTACTTAATTCTAGTAATAACAACGTGCTGGTTCATGTGCCCAAATTTGTATTTAAAATAACTAGTAATAAGGTACTTAATTCTCACAATCCAACAAAAAAACCCTTGTGCCAATGTAAGGAACAATACTTTGTCCAAGATCAAATTAAAGCAAACAAACACCACAACAAACTTGTTCATAGTTACAAACATACATGAACTAATCTTCCTACTACTGTTGTGACACCTGGGTATATCCAAGTAGTAGTGCCTCTTGCATATCAGTAGCTTTACCAGTAATTTCCTCGGGTCTTCAATGGCTTTCTGGACCATTTGAGCATACCTAATGTAAGCTGCAAGCTGTCTACCGTCCTATCAAGGAACCACACCAACAGTATATACAGATTGCCGTTGGTTGGTATAGCTCCTGTTCCGGTTAACAGTGAAGGTTGTCCTCACGCAGTCCGTTGCTTCTTCTCCTTCCTGAAACTCTTGGCTACCTCATCACGTAACCGTTTCTTAATAGGCCCAACACCAGAATCACTAGATTCCCCCAAGTGGACTGCTACCTGCCGAGAAACATAACCAGCAGGTTGTTTGTTTTTCGCAGATGTTGTAGCTGGTATCTTTGTTTTGGCCAGTCCTGCATAAGGTGGTTGTGTTACATGGGAGGCTATAGCTGGGATCTTTGTTCTGGCCATTGTTGCAACAACACAAGCCGATTGTATCACTAGAAGTACTACTGCAATGTACAATGCTGCTGGTACAATACTACTACTGGTTCCAATAGGAAAGTACCAATAGAAAAGTACCCGAAAATCATACCAAAAGAAAGCACCAGTACTACTTCTACATATTGGGACAATTAGTGGTACCAATAGAAAAAACCAGTACCAATAGAAAAGTACCAAAAGAAAACACCAGTATCACTTCTACATATTGGGACAATTAGTGGTACCAATAAAAAACACCAGTACCAAAAGAAAACCACAGTATCACTTCAACATATTGGGACAATTAGTGATACCAAATCAGTGGTACTGATACCAAAAGAAGAGTACCATAAAATCTTACCACAAACGAATCTAGCTCGTACCAGTACCACAACTATCTGTAGCATAGGTACAAATCTTAATAGTACTGGTAGATCATACCAACAACAAACAAAAGCACCAGTACTACTTCTACATGTTGGGACAATTAGTGGTACCAAATTAATGGTACTGGTACAGAAAAAAGTACCAGAAAATCAGACCAAAACGAATCAAACTAGTACCAATACAAAACTACCTCTGCATTGGTACTATTCTTAATACTACCTGTGGATCATACCAACAACAAACAAAAACATCAAACAACAAAGACAGGCTTGCATGTGGCTTACTCCAACGTTGAATCCGAAAAACAAAAACCAGAAGGGGAAAGAAAGCTCACCGCTGATTGTCTTCACGGACGCAGAAATCAGAATGGCGGAAGGAGGTTCGCCTCCGCCATTAAAAAGAAGGAGATCAAAACTAGGTTAGCAAACCAAAATTTCAAACCAAGCATCAATGGAGACCGATCGCAAATAACCATGCAAAAAGTTTTTGATCATACATGAATTACCTTACCTTTGCCCTAACCAAGAAAGTATTCGCCGGACGCGAAACTACCAAGACCCACAACCAAAAACTATCCAAGACTGTAGAAGGGGAGTTTTTGTGATGTTGGGAGAAGACGGAGGAAAATAGATTTTGGGGGAGGAACGAACAAGCGGGGAGACGAAAGGTTCGGCGGGGAGGGTGGCTAATTTCTCTCCCCCACCGATTTCTTTGCTTTTTCAAAAAAAGGTAGACGTCAGCGAATTAGGGGGAGCACAATCCAGTGTGGGATTTCTCTTATTTGACCCTGCCCATTTCGAATCGTAGAATTGAGGATTAGAAGGACGGACGACACTTAAGGGGGAAGCGAGATTGACAACCCCCTTAGGGGTTGTCACGCTAACCAGTCCCACACATATTGTAAGGATTGAATTGATAATTTAATAATTTTTATATTTACATACATTTTAAATTATAGATTTATATATTTATAACTGAAAACAAACTTTTAAGTGTACTATTGTGTTAAAATGATACACAAAACTCCGTACGTATCAATGCCGCAACATATGTATACCATATTTTACAAATTATGGTGTTACGTCATTCCACAACATTTTCCACGAATAAATGATAATTAATTTTTCTAAAGAAAAAATCCAACCGAAAATCAAATGGTTAAATCTTCTCTCTTCAATTGACGAATGGTCAGACATGGCTAGATTCTGGTGGACGGTGGGTGATGGCTCGCCTAGGATTCATTGGATGTCTTGGAGAAAACTTTTTCGTAGTAAACATGATGGAGGCCTGAGATTTTTGCGTTTTGAGGAATTTAATCAGGTGCTCTTGGCTAAGATTGGATGGCGAACCTTAGAGTATCCAGATTCTTTATTAGCAAGGATTTATAAGGGTTAGTATTTCCCTAGGACAACCTTACTGAATGCATGTCTAGGATCCGCTCATCGTGGGAATGTCAAAGTATTATGCATGGATTGGAGCTTTTGAAACAAGGGTTCGAGTGGCAGGTAGGTACAAGGGAAAATATTAGAATTTTGCACGGATAATTGGATACCGAAGATCGTGCAGGGTAGTGTGCCCGTGCTTGCCTCGGCTCTGCTTAATGGGGACGATAAGGTATCATCTCTGTTAATTCATGGGGAGAGTGTGTGGTGTGCTCACTGTTTAAATGCTTGCTTCCCCCAGGAGTGGGTGAAAATGATTTCGGCTATCCATCTGTCTCGATTGGCAGTTGAGGATAGAATGAGTTAATTATATGAGCCCTCAGGAGTGTACATGGTTAAGTCGGGTTACCACCTTGATTTTTGTACAAACCGTGATCGGAAACGAAGGAAGGAGGAAGCTAGTTGAATGGATCGCTAGTTCTCGATAGTTATTTGGGCATTACAGATTCAACCAAAGCTTAACTTCTTTCTCTGGAAAATCTTGAATCGTATTTTGGCTATTATAGAGGCTTTACAGGAAAATGGTGTTTAGGTGTTGGGTCATTGCCCCGAAGGTGATTAATCACTCTCCTTAGAGTGTTATTTTCCCCCACTACAAATTGCTAGTAGGCTCGAGCAAACCACCCCCAGGAGTCCCTTCAATTTTAAGTATGGAAGTAGCAATCTTGCAGACTTCTGTGTTTATGAAATAGAGAAGGAAAGTGGAAAACGAGAAGAAGTAATCTCTCGTCATCTAATAGAGTTATGGCAGTTATCTATTTATAGTTGTGAAAACTGGAAGTTACCTTCCGAAGAGACACATCCTTTCATAGAAAAAAGATAGTTACCTTTCTCGAAAGGACACATCCTTTCACAGAAAAAAGGAAGTTACCTTTCCCGAAAGGACACATCTTTTCACAGAAAAAAATAAGTTACCTTTCTGAAATGATACCTCTTTTAACAATATTGAAATGCAAATTAATTAATATAAAAATTAATTAATTAACTAAACTGCCAAATGACTCAATTTTTATACTTTCCTTCTCTCATCAATGTGGTATTACAACTCTATTGACTAACTCTAACAATCCTCCACTTAGTCAACAAGAGTTGAGAATACCTGCCTCGAACAAGTGACGCATACATAAAGGTATCTTTTTGATTTGAACCTTTACCAAAGCTATAACCGGAGGTGCCACACACATACTTGTCTCTTCTCTAAACCACAACAACCAACAAGGGTAGCACTATTATGGCCATGTGCTGATCCTGTTCCATGAGCATACACAAAAGTTGACCTCTACTTTTGTTAGAGCAGCACTACTCTTAATGCTCATATAGGTGACATTCCAAATGAATTCATTAAGAGTTCTGTAACTCATCTCAAAAGTTCTATAACTCACCCTTCTTTGGACTAATTTACTTGTTCAATAAATTAGTGTTTATGTTAGTGTAACTTGTTATTACCACATTGAACCTTTTAATTAGTGAATACCTAAAGAAAAGGTTGGGTTCCCGTTACTTCTAACTACACAAAAGGTCTCAATCCCATCCCTTGGGATGTCTCATAGATCATGCCTCTTCATAACCCCTTGGTAAGAGGATCTGTCAAATTATTGCTTGATCTTACATTCACAATAGAAATGATTGCATTAGTAATCAAATATCCAATTTAATAATGTATTATGCTTATATGGCTAGACTTACGATAGTAAATCTGGTTATAGGCTCTAGACAAAGCAGCCTCACTATCAGAAAATACAAAAATGTGGCTATAACTCGATACCTAATAACATATTTCTTAGCCATTCTGCCTCGTTTCCAGCCGCAACAAGGGCTAGGAATTCAACTTTCATAGTGGAGTGTGTAACACACGTTTGTTTCTTCGAAACCCAAGAAACAACTCCATCGCCTAGTGTAAAAATCCACCCGTTGTAGATTTATTATAACTAACACTTGTTATTCAACTAGCATAAAAAATACCTCCCCCACAATTCTATCACTTGCCGAACTATCATGGAATAATTCCATTAAATTTTTCATGGTTCTACTTACTGAACTTTCACAACCACTACATTGATTAATTGTTTACCAATGGTATGGACTGATTGAATTATCATACCACAAACAATTCGGATATTATTAGAAATATCATCTAATTACTTACCAATGTAATTGGTCAAGGTAACTTGAGATGTCACAAGTAATTCAGTTGCATTTACAGATTATTGCAAATATCATCTAATTACTTACCAATGACATTCTTCAAGGTAACTTTGACATACCACAAGTAATTCAGATGAAATTTTCTAAGTCGATAGTGTACTTACTTTCCAATGGTATAAATTTACATAGTATACTGTAAGTAATTCACTTCAATAAGCTCATCTTAATCAAGGTTCAAAAAGGCGCTAGGCGTAAGCCGGGCGTTGAGCCTTTGCCTAGTGCCTAGCTTGCTTAGGCGTAGACTAAGCGTGCCTGGGCGTTGGAAGAAAATAGCTATTCGCACTGCATGACGAATGGAATAATAATCTACAACACTTCCTCACTTCAGTTTAATTGATTAATAACTTACTCAACACTTAATGACAAGAACATAGCTCACGAATTCATAGATTTATAGATTAATAGCTCACAAAGTTCTTGAGCTATTCAAAATATTGATATAGAAAATTGATTTAGTAGTTGATGTTAATTTTCTCATTTAATATTGACTTCCTAGCTCCATCTATAAATTTTTAGGAGAGACTTAGATGTCGCCTTACTCCATTGAAGTGTTCCAGCATCTAATTAGGCGCTAAAACCCTAGGCGAGGCGTTTTTCCATTGCCTTGCGCCTAGGCGTGCCTAAGCGTAAGTTTAAGCGTGCCTTTTTGAACCATGATCTTAATTAAGCTCTCATGTCAAATTGTTTGCCAATGGTATATGTCTATATCTACAATAAACAATTCTAACAAATAGCTTCACATAATAATCATACGTCAAATTGTTTCCAATGGTATAGTGTACATATACCATAAACAATTCTGACAATGATTATTTTGATGATTACCATTCCTTGGCAAGTTTAATCAATTCCTTTAAGGATCCATCTTAGTTCCATTTTCCTTGCCCTCATGGCATATGAAACATGAAGTCATAAACCAATACATGATAAACGAATTACCATGTCAGGGAAACGCTTTTCACCATTATTTGAATTTACTTCAAGATCACAACTCAAACAATTTTGTTACATAAACCAAATTGTTTCATCTTGCAATTATCAAAATTGAAACTCATACAAATTTTGGTGACAATTTATTTCAAGAATTCAATGTGAATTCTTCGAAATTCAGACACAATTGGATTTTATTGGACTCTACTTATAATATGAATTATGAGTTTGTTCACATCTCAAATACGGTAAAAGTATTTAATATCACTCACCCAAACCCAATTGATTAATCATTCCTCTGTATTGCTCGAAGAAAGAAAGCCAACGGGTAGAATTACTACATCACTTTCAGAAAGTACAGGTTGCAAACAACCACTAAAATAGCCAGTTACATTTGCACGTTTGCATAACTAACAGCCCAACATCAAGTAATTAACCAAACAAAGTCATTCATCACAACTGCTTAAAAATCCACGTTGCGTGCACGGTAAGTGCAGTTAATTAAACATGCAATTTTGAATGGTCATCAAGGCTCAAACCATGCAACGGATGGATGTTTTACATGTAGCAATGCAACAACAAATTACATGGCCACTTAACTGATAAATCCAATCCCGTATGCATTTTCCAATTTGTACAGGAACCGACACATATATGGACGCTATTAAGACATGTATATACAAACCTCTCTAACATATACATATACCTTTCTATATGCATACACGTTCTAATTAATCATGAAAAACTGATTAATTAATCATTGATCCATGATCTACGATCATTAATCTGTGCCAAACCTTTAGTCACATATATATACAACAAGCTTATATATATATAGAACAATATCTCGCAGTGGCATTATAGAGAAATTAAACGGCCAAATGCAATTTGGAAGTTATTTCAGAAATCAAGCAAATCATGATGCATGCATGAATACTAAGGAACAACGTGTTACTGATTTCCAAGGAGTCTTTCCTTGTGGCAGCAACCAGTAGAGAGCAATACTTTCTTTTTCCCTTTTCGGTAACCCACCAATCTCGGAATCGGTTACAACGAACCGAGCATTCCTTTCCGCCGTAGCGGTGCCTCACGAACACAGCACAATGATGAGAACCACAGTTGTTTGAATCAGAAGCATACACCTCCATTTTCAAACAATAAATAATAATACTCTAAGATTGTCAGGAACTGGTAGGAAAGAATCGATTGAAGGCGTGATTAATTACTCTCCTTAGAGTATTATTTGCCCCCAAAAATTGCTGGTAGGCTAGAGCAAACCACCTGATAACGTCGTATTTGCACATGTTTGCACCCTCGTTTCTTGATC